AGCCACTCAGTCTTGCCAGGGTTCAGCTGAAGCCTGTTGTTCCCCATCCAGACCCCCACAGCCCCCAGGATAAGACATTCACAGCATTGCTTAATTCGCCAGGGGCAGAGATGTATAATTGGGTATCATCAGCGTACTGATGATACCTCACCCCAGGGTGACAGATGAGCTCACCTAGTGACCTCATGTAGATGTTAAATAGGAGGGGGGAGAGCAGCGAACCCTGTGGCACCCCACATAACAGGGGCCGAGAGCGGGATCTCTCCTCCCCAACCACCACCAACTGGAATCGGCCCTGGAGGAAGGAGGTGATCCAGCACACACCGTGCCACCCATCTCCAATCCTCTGAGCTGATCCAGAAGGATACCATGGTCGATGGTATTGAAAGCCACTGAGAGGCCAAGTAGGGCAAAGATGGATGCATAACTCCCATCCCGCCCTCGCCAGAGATCATTCAAAAGCATGATCAATGCTGTTTCCATCCCATACCCAGGCCTGAATCCTGACTGACAGGGATCCAGATAGTCCGCTTCATCCAAGGTCCTCTGAAGCTGTTGCGCAACCATCTTCTCAATCACCTTCCTCAAAAAGGGGAGGTTAGATACTGGACGAAAATTGTCCAGTATAGTGAGGTCTAGCAATGGCCTCTTGAGGAGGGGGTGAACCAAGGCCTCCTTAAGAGGTGAGGAACAACCCCCTCACTCAAAAATGCATTAACCATCGCTAGAACGCACTTGCACAACACCCCCTGGGCTGCTTTCACAAGCCAGGAGGGGCATGGATCGAAAGAGCAGGTGGCTGAGCTCACAGCTCCAAGGTCCACTTCCTCAGGTCCAACAGGTTCAAACTGTTCCCAGATAACAGGGCGAGACTCCTCCCTAGGCACCTCCACTGGACCTGCAATAAAGCCAGCGTCCAACTGAGAACGAATCCGGGCAATTTTATCCAGCAGATGCCGAGAAAATTCCTCTGCACGTCCCTGCAGAAAGTTCCCCAAGCCATCCTTCCCCGGAGGGCTCATGTCACCAGAAACAGGGCTGCGGGGCAGCTATTTGCGGACGCAATAAGAGGGGAGGAGTAATGATGCTTCGCCGCCCTTATCGCCACTAAGTAGGCATGAATAGCCGCTCTAACTCGTGTTTGGTCGAGTTCATCCCTTGTCAAGCGCCAGCGATGCTCTAGACATCTCTTCTCTCGCTTCCTCTCCCTTAGCTCTTCCGTAAACCACGGAGAGCGCTGGGATCCCCGAGAGGAGAGAGGTTGCATGGGCACGATCCGATCCAAAGCCTCAGCCACCCCTTTATTCCAAGCGGCTACCAAGGCTTCAGATGGACCATGCAGCAGACCAGCAGGAACAACCCGCATCTCCCTATGGAACCCACCCATAAGTCGCCGGGGGCTGTTGATATATTCACTCTCTCCATGCCTGTGGTTTGTATGCATTTTAATTTTTATAATTAATAAATTACTAAATTAATTATTATATTTTAAATCATATTGTTTTATATTCTTATAACGGTTGTATTTATAAGACTGTTGTTTTGGTTTGATTGTTATACGCCACCCTGAGTCACTTGTGAGATGGGCGGCTATATAAATTTGATGGATGGGTGGATAGATGAATGGATGGATGAATAAATAAATCCAGCTCCCGACATTGTCCTTGCAGTCTCTCACCTGTTTGGGGCTGTTTTTCCCATCTGGAGTTTTGCCCAGATCTGTTGTCTTAGAAAACCTGGCCAGGCTTTCATCCTCTGAATTCTCTGAGGGGGATTCTGAGTGATAGTCTGATGTTTCTGGCTCTGGCGTTGATTTCCCACTGGGGTTCTCTTCTTTCTTCACGCTGAAGTACCGGTTGTTCTCACCAAGCCTGGAGGAGCAGATGGGATAGGAGACTTCAGCGTGTTAAGGGCCTCTATCCATGTGGGTTCTCAACAGGCTGAAACTCAATAGGTGCTCTCACTTTTGGGGTTGGCTGGTTGATTTGTTAAGCAAGAGATCCAAGTTAGTAACCCCTTTTCTGGTGCCTCCAGGAGATGACCACGAGGTATATTTGAAACAGAACGATTGAGCCTAAGATACTGACCTGCAGCAAACTTCCCCAGGATCAATCCAGATGGAAATTTCACGGGGCAGTGCTAATTCCGAATAATCCAGACCACAGGCCATGCACGCCTTTAGGAGTGAATCATCAATGTGGTGCTTCCGATTGATCCGGATGCATCTGGGAAGAAGGAAAACAAAGATTCAGAAAAGGCTTCGTTAAAATGTAAAGCAAGTCGGATTCCCGGTACAGCCGGTGGTTGAAAGGGAAAAACCATATCACAAAACAAAGAAACAAAAACCCATGTGGTTTGCATTGTTCACTTTTATTCTGTTGGTTTTCTAAGAATTCACCCTTCCACCAAAGAGGGTGGTGTGAATAAATGATCCTCCTCCCTCCAACATTTGGCACAAGCCACAATTATATCACAGATGCCATGACATCACTGTGCAAATTGATATCATGATGATATGATGTCATGATGCACATGATGTCAGTCACTCTTCCTCTGCCCCCTGCTGTCTGCCTGCCCCACCAAATGCTCATGCCTAAAAGGAAACTCAGCCAAAACACCTTATCTAAGGATGACGTGTCTTCTGGCTGAAAAGACATTTGAATGGAGCTAAGGGTGCAAACAGATGTCTTGGGTCAGACCAACTGTCTAGTTAGTTCAGCATCTAAATCAGTGTTTCTCAACCTTGGGAGCTTTAAGATGCGGGGACTTCAACCCCCAGAATTCCCCAGCCAGCTGGGGAATTCTGGGAGTTGAAGTCCCCACATCTTCAAGTTCCCAAGATTGAGAAACACTGATCTAAATTTTTGCCATGGCCAAGCAGATGTCTATGAAAACTCCACATGTAAGACATGAGACTAGGAGCGCTCCACCACTCATATTCCCCGTTGTCCAGAATTTGCCCATATTGGGCCACACAACCATCATAATTAACATGCCCAAAAGCTTTTTCCTTTAATTGTTCATCCCTCTGCAAGCAGTCCAGACTGGTGGCCATTCCCTACATCGTGTGATGGCAAACCTGATTGTTCACTCTTGTTCTCGGTGGACCAAGAGAACATTTGCTGCCTTTTAAGACCCAGGCTCAAAGTATCTAGCTGGCGTTTTGGAGAGGTGTCATTGCAATGAAGCTGGGAGGTGCGGCTTCGCACATTCACTTTGGGACCAACCCTGCCACCACCATTCCTTGAAAGCTCAAGGACAACAAAATCATATTGATGAAAGCAGAACCTCCCGTGAGTAAAACTGTGGTGCGGCAAGTTCCAGGCGGGATGTAGCAAACAAAAATTGCGGTGTGAACTGCGTGCTAACAATCGCCTGAGCAGCCAAACTAGTATGCAAACGGTGCCAATCAGTTACACAAATAGTCTCGAGATGCACAATACAGTTATGCCACAGCTCGCTCTGCAAACAAATGACTCCATAAAAAAGGCACTCATTGGTTGCTTCATAGTATACTTAAACGGCTGGGGGTGGGGGCAGAGACGTGGAAGCACACCAAGGCAGAGCTTTCGTTGCTGACCTCCACCATTTTTTTCTATTTTATTTTAAATGGGAACTTTAAAATATCCAAGTCCTTAGGACTCGTCATTCAACAGGCAGATTTAATATTTCGTGTAATGCCTCTGCTATATACTAAGTGCAGAAGCTCCTTTGCCTCTCTTTTCAAGGGAGATGGGCGGCCATATAGATACGATGAATAAATAAATAAAATAAATAAGATAATATGCAGCAGGATGGCCTGAAAGATGCACGTAGCAGCTCACCCTTTCGAAAGATTGTGGCTGATTCTTCAGACTATCTCTCGACCTGAAGCAGGCTGAAATCACACCAACCCAATTCAGGCATGCTGCCACCACCTTTCTTAGATGGTGGGGAGACCCAAATGAGGACATCCAGGTTCACTCAACAGTGCTGACCCCAAACTAAACATAGAATCATAGGGTTGGAAGGGACCTTGGAGGTCTTCTAGTCCAAGCATGCCAGATTAGAGCTCTGAGTGATGGGTGAACCCCTGTCTGCAGAAGAGCCCTCAATGGCTTGTTTCCACTCCCAACTGAAAAGACAAACCAGGAGAAACAGCGGCCCAATACACGGACATTCTGTTCATATCTTCTCAACACGACGCCAGTTCCCCCGTAAATCCAGATAGAGTTAGAAAGAGGATCAAAGGAATCAAGGAGGCCATGGCTTAACATATCTGCTGATAAATGTGGCTAAACTACACACATATCCAGTTTGTAAGATTTTGTAACTAACTCCTTTTCCTTTACAGTAACCCTGATGGGTGAGACTTTGAGAGACCCGCTCTTCTTGGTTACTGTTCAACAGTAGCCTACTTTTGTGGGGAAAACTGCCTTGAATCCTAGACTTTACCTTACAGCCTGGACGGAACCAAATGTTGATGCAAATATTATTAAAAGCCTGCTAAGCTGCTAGCGGAAGCTTAGAGGCTGCTTTTGGCCTTAAAAAAAAAAAAACCTGAAGACAGCTGCTTGGATGACCCTTCAGATAAACGGAAGTTTCAACATCTTCCTGTCACAACCAGGGTAAGTGTAACAAGAAGAAAAAAATCAGCAACCACTTCCATTTCCTCCATTTCAGCACACCACAATCCTGTTGACCGACAAAGGCTGTGAAATCACACTGCATCTTGGCTAACCGTGTGAACCAAGAAACCCCACCAAAGCTCCAAAATCACTCCGGTGTTTGCAGCGGGCCCCGTTTTCAATGCAAGTGTCATAGAATAGGGTGTCCCTGGGTTAAGAACACCCGGTTTAAGGATGACCCGTAGTTAAGAACGGAGCCTATTGTAGCAAAATTCGAGTTAAATACACAACGATTCGAGTTCATTACACAATCCTAGTTCTACAGTATTATACAATCATACTGTTCCGGCTTGCCTACAAATTCGACTTAAGGACAGACCTTGGGAACAGAACTTGTTCTTAAAGTGAGGACTACCTGTACCAGTTTTCCTATCTTACATCGTGGTTGGCAACAATTAGGGAGAAAACGTGACACCCCTTGGAAGGCTGAGATTGTCAGATCAAAGATAAGTGTGATACTTCTTTGTTATTGGAGTCTGTTTGCTTTTTTTTAAAGCTCTTCCATTTCGCTGTATGTTTTAAACTTTCCTGACCTCATTATGCAAATCCCTAATAATTATCTACTGGTTTCTTTGCAAGGCGGGACAGAGTGTTTAATGTTTCTCTCATAAGCAAAAATTGTATTTCCTCTGAAGGACAAACATAAGCCTATAACCTTGATAATCCACCACTACTGCAAACTGAATGTTGTTCAGTTAAAAATGTGGCTGGTTGTTTTGGTACTTTCTTAAAAAAAAAAAAAAAAAGATTTAGGTCGCCTTGGCTTCAGATGTGTGCACCGGCTTCCGCAGTGCAGGCTTGAGCTTTTGAGGTCTCCATAAAAGTAATGCTAGAGAGTTGACAAGAGTTGAAAATAACTTAAACTGAACGGGAAGCGTTACAGCACCAGGCTTTGGGTGACAGCGGAATGATTAGTCTGCCTCTGAACATGTGCAGACGGCTTGGCTGGCCCTGGAGATTCTCCTTCTATGCACAGCATTGGAACATGTTGCACTATAGAGCAGTGTTTTTCAACCTTGGCCACTTTAAGAGGTGTGGACTTCAACTCCCCGAAATCCCCCGCCCGCCCCGCTGGCTGGGGGATTCTTGGAGGTTAAACACACAC